TCTCTCTCTCTCTCTCTCTCTCTCTCGCACACACACACACACACACACACACACACACAAGGGAAGCGATCATTCATAAACCCTTGACCATTGGAGAGGAGGCACGGAAGCAGCAGAGGGAAGCTGAGGGCAGCAGAGGCAGCTGAGGCAGCAGACGCAGCGGACGGGCGGAGGGGCGACGGATCAGCCGCGGATCGGCTGCGGATCGGTGGTGGAGGAGTGGGGGCAGAGGAGAGCGTGGCAGTGGGGAGGGTGGAAGAGGGGAGCGTGACGCAAGGGAGGGCGGTGGCGGGGAGTGTGATGGAGGGGAGGGCGGCGGAGGGGCAGAGGAGGATATCTCGGTGGAGGGGTGGACAGAGCTGGGGAGCAGGAGGGCAGCAAAGAGGGGTGGCGGAGGGGAGGAGGACGGGAGCATAGCGGAGAGGCACGTGGCACAGGAACGGGCGGAGGAGGAGGTGGAGGAGCGGGCAGTGGATTGGCGGGTGAGACATTCGCAGGCAGTGGAGGACGGGCAGAGGAGGAGGCAGAGGGGAAGATGACGGAGGTGAGGAAGAGGGCGGCGGAGGGGAGGAAGAGGGGGGCAGCTGGAAGGAAGAGGGAGGCGAAGGAAGAGGAAAAAAAAAAAAAAAAAAAAAAGAGGGTGGCGAAGGGGAGAAAGAAGGGGAGGAGCAGCGGAGGGCCGGAGAGGCAGGGGAGGGGCTGTGGATGGCCGGAGGAGGGGATCGTGGTGGAGAAAAGCGCGGCGGAGTGACGGGCGGAGGGAAGCACGTGGACAGCGGATGGGAGCATGGCGGAGGGGGATGCAGCAGAGGGGAGTTGGGCACAGGAGGGGGCGAAGGAGGAGGCAGCGGTCAAGGCCGAGGGGAGAACGTCGGAGGCAAGGAAGAGGCCGGTGGAGACGAGGAAGAAAGGGGCGGAGGAAAGGAAGAGGGTGGCAGAGGGAGGAAGATGGCGGTGGAGGGGAGAGTGGTGGAAGCGATCAAGGCGGAGGTGCGGAGCAAGAGGGCAGCAGAGGGGACTGGCGGAAGGTTGCATGGCGCGAAGGAGGTGGCAAAAGGGTGGGCGGAGGATGGGTGGGCGGCGAAGGACATGTGGAAGAGGAGGCGGAGGAGGAGAGGACGTCACAGGGGAGGAAGAGGGCGATGGACGGCTGGAGGAGGGGAGAGCGGTGGAGGTGAGCGTCGCAGAGGTCGGGAGCAAGTGGGGAGCAGGCAGAGGGGAGCGTGGTGGATGGGAGGGCGGCGGATGAGGGGTGGAGGAGGGGCGGAGGGGAGCATGGCAGAGGGGAGGGCGGTACAGGAGAGGGTGGCAAAGGGGAGGGCGCAGAGGGGAGGGTGCGGTTGAGGGAAGGGCTGGCGGAAGGGAGGGCAGTGAGGGGAGCGCGGCAGTGGAGGATGGCGGAGGGGCAGAGGAGGGGATAGTAGAGGAGGGAGGGGCTGGGCGGGGCAAGAGGGCAGCGGAGGGGAGCACAGTGAAGAGGTGGAGGAAAGGAGCGCAGCAGAGGGGAGCACAGCGCAGAGGCCGGGCGGGTGAAGGAGGAGGCGGAGGCGGCGAACGGGCAGGGAGCAGATTGACAGACGGCCGTGGACAGGCGGAGGAGGGCACGGCGGGAGGGCTCGGCGGAGTAGAGGAATTGAGCAGTGACGGCAAGGAAGAGGTGAAGGGGGGAGGGGAGGAAGAGGTCAGCGGAGGGGAGGAAGAGGGTGCTGGTGGCGAGTGCAGAGTGGAGGGGAGGAAGAGGGTTGCAGAGGGGAGGAAGAGGGCAGCGGAGGCAAGCGCAGCAGAGGAGGGGAGCTGCGAAGCGGTAGCGGAGGGGAGGCAGAGGGGAGCATGGCGGTGGAGGGGATAGCGGCGGAGGCGAGCGCGGCGGAGGGCAGCAGAAGGGAGCGAGGCGGAGGGGCGGAAGAGGAGTCTAGTGGAGGGGAGCGTGGCGCAGGGGCGGGTGGAGGAGGAGGTGGAGGGGCGGGGGACAGATTGGTCGATGGTGCACTAGCGGGTGGCGGAGGACAGGCTGTGGAGGAGGAACGGAGGGGAGGACGCCGGAGGTGAGGAAGAGGGCAGCAGAGGGGAGGAAGACGGCAGAGGAGGGGAGGAAAAGGGCAGCGGAGGGGAGGAAGAGGGCGGCGAAGGGGACGAAGAGGCAAGGTGGGGGGAGGAGGAGGAGAGGGGGATGGGGGGAAGGGGGGAAGGGGGGAAGGGGGGAAGCGCTGTAACTGACCTGTGACCCCCAACTTGTACCGGCTTCGAGGCGTCCACAGCAGCTTAGGATTCCATGAAACTTTCAGCAGCATTACCCAAGGCTGCCAACAGTCTCACAACAAAAGCTAAATCCTCTGCAGCACACAGACTGTCGCATACTGCGTAGCCACACGGGCCCTGCAGGGCCCGTCCCGGACATTCAGCCTAAAAGACTAAAACTTAGGGCTTACAGGCCCGTTCGTTTCAGCCTGAAAGCTAAAAAAACGAGGGCCTGCAGGCCCTACCCCGTTTCAGCCTATTTCTGGGTCTTTTCAGACCCAGAGTTTTCAGCCTGAAACGGAGGGCCATTTTCAGGCCCTCATTGTTYCGACCTGCCCCTAARACTCAGRCACGTAAACAKGGATGCGGAACAGGCCAGAAATAGCCTGTTCCTCACGAGTTTGAGCAGGAGCTGCAGCTGCAGCCCCTGCCTCCCTTCGGCAGGCTCAGGAGGCACACCCGGTAGTACATAGGTTCCCATGCACTTCACGGGTAGGTAGTTCAGTAGGCACGAGGTAGTCTTCAGGAATTCGGCCGCATCACTCAGGAGGAGCGCTGCAGTAGTCTTCAGCGCTAGGCAGGTATTAGCGCTAGCTGTAGTCTTCGGCGCTGGGCGCCCATATAGCCTTAGAGATAGTCTTCAGCGCTGGGCACTGGTAGGTGGTAGATCGCAGAGTGGGAGAGAGAGACTGGCGGAGGCCAGTGGTACTTACCTGTGGTGCCATCGCTCCAGCTCCATCTTCGTGGTACCTGCATCAAGACGCCAACTTCACAGGTTAGTACTGGACACACAGAGAGAGAGAGTTCTTCTTCTTCCTCTTCTAAGTCCACCTTCTCTTCTCACCCTCTCGCCACCTGACTTCTCAGACTACGACAGAGAGAGACAGAGTTGTGACTTGAGACTTGACGACATTGGATCCAGACTTGACATTTGGGATTCAGACATTTCGACGAGGGACTATTTGGGCTTGTGCCGAAGACTTGGTGTTGACGACATTCCCATCTTCCCCCTCCTCTTCGTCTATCCCCTTCCTCTTCGTCTGAGTATGGTACGGGCTGGCGCAGTCTTCCTGTGTGAAGCGCCAGGCCCATTTCACACCATGTAACGATGATGATGATGTATGTTCAGGGCTGCATTGCAACATTGATAGTTCGGATCACTGGTATCTTCCGTTGTGCTATCTTATACTTTGTATTGAAAGGTCGGTTCTTGTTCTGGTCTGCACGTTACAGTATGCAACACAGACCCAAGGCTGCCAACAGTCTCACAACAAAAGCTATAATCTCCGCAGCACACAGATGCCTGTTCCTCCATATCCCCTCAAGGCACATCCAAAACCGGAGTACAATAAAGAGGGATAATCCGGCAAATCATGACAGCAAACTACCGTCCTCAACCGAATAGAAAGCCCAGTCATTATCACTGTATCCAGACCGAAAGTTTGCACTAAATACTATAATAACAGGTAGGATGCTTCAGTTGATACACCAACACTGCAGGTAACAGTGCCCTTCAGAAATCAGGCAAGGAAGAAAAGAAAGAAAAGAACCAGCCGAGTCATGCCAGCAAACTCGATTGCATGGAGTGATATCGTGCACATAGTACAAAACCACTGCAGGTAACAGTGCACTTCAGTAGAACTGGTCCGTCGTGCGCTGAAGTGGCTATCCCAGAGAGCAGTCCAAAGCTTGAACAAGAAAGACAGAAGTGAGGTGAGCTTGTCCGTCCTAAGGCCCTCATGATGCTCAGCAAGCATCAAGAGTGGCATGACGAACAGTACCCATGAACCCCCCTCCCCCCCAGATAACTACAGGGACTGAAGGCATCCATGACTGGTTGCAATCGCTCAAGATAACACCACTCTATTATGTGACAGGGAAAGGAACAGAACAAAGCAAAAGGAAGACTCTGAGGGTCTGTTGGCATGGAAACTTGGGAACTCAAAACAATGAAAGATTGGTGTAAATGAGCGACTGAGCAGCAGGTTGAAAGAGTGTATGAGTTCTCTGTATTCGCTAAATAGCTCCACAGGAAAAGGGAAGACTGACATCAGATACATATATTTGCCCACATTCTAACATGTGCAAGGGAGAGAGAGGGAGGAGGGGAGAGGAGAGAGATACCACTGAAATTCAACTCAACTAGAAAAGCTGATAAGACTTTGGGCAAGAGAGAGAGAGAGAGAGAGAGAGAGAGAGAGAGAGAGAGAGAGAGAGAGAGAGAGAGAGAGAGAGAGAGAGAGAGAGAGAGAGAGAGAGANAGAGAGAGAGAGAGAGAGAGAGAGAGAGAGAGAGAGAGAGAGAGAGCTGCCGCTGAAATTCAACAATTAGAAAAACCCACGGGACAACATTGTGTCAGAGGGAGGGAGTAAGACTGCTGTAACTGAAATTCAACTCAATCCGAATGCAACAGACTGTTTTGCCCAACTACGATATCAGGATGTGAGTCGTCACACCCAGCGCATGTGGCTGAATGGTACACCCATGTAATTGTTGGTAGACCGACATTAGTTTGAATCAGGCTGGAATCAGATTAACAAAACAACTCTGAATTAGCTGGGGCCTGCGAGTTCCATGATGATACCTCAAGGCCAACACTCTTCAATCACATGGGAAGAGTAACCTCCTTCCTTCCTTAACGCAATAAGCCAGACAACTCAAGTCACCCGAGGCATTACTGTCACCCCAGACACAAGGTACAACCCTGAGGAATTTCAGTTCAGGTGTGACAACCTCCTGCACAGTCGCAGATGAGATTGCTCACACGGTCTCATCCCTACCCGCTGAGCCTGAAGACTGTCACCCTAGACAGAAGGTACAACAACCCTGAAGAGTTCCAGTTTACGTGTGACAACCTCCTGCATAGTTGCAGACGAGAATGCTCACACGGTTTCATCCCTACCCGCTGAGCCTGAAGAATGGCAACAGTGCCTCTTTGCAGTGTGGAGAACAGCCGATAACCCCTGGCTGAGCACCGTCAGCAATCCCGAACTCCTACCAATCAGGAATTCGTTCACAAGCCCGTCCAAAGAAGACGACCGAACCCACATACAAAAGCCCACTCACCAGACATGACTGTCGATATTGCCTGCACTGCACACAATAACCAGCAGTACGGCCTCACCCCCTGGCTCTTTTCCGCGGAATGCAGAGATATCGAGGGATGGGCAAGTGAGTGGTCCCGCGAACCCTCAACTTGGCTGTGACAGATTGTCCTGTTTCTCCTTGTGTGTGTGTTGCCATGCTCGCTATACAAATCCAGAGAAAAGCATGGCTGTGACAGACTTCTCTTTCATCTAACACCCCCTTTCACGGACTCGTCAGAAGCATCTGCAAGAACGGATATGCATGTGTTCGTGCAATCCTGCGTGCATGCGCACATGTTTTGTCATGTTTAATATAGACAACTGCACAAAACAACGCATGACTGTCACATTGAGTCATCAGAATGCGTGTCTGTGAGTTTGTTTCGTATTAGTTAACAGAACTCTACGAGAAAGGGTGACTATGACAGACTAAGTCGTTAGGACGTTGTGTGTGCGTGTGTGTGTGTGTGTGTGTGTGTGTGTGTGTGTGTGCGCGCGTGTGTGTGCACGTGTGCGTGTGTGCGCGTGTATACCAGCACATGAGACAACTATACACCCCAAGGGAGCGGTCAACACAAGCCGGTACTTGATATAGCACAAAAGAAGGGAACCAAAAAAATGTACAGAATTGCCTACACACTGAACAACGTCTGTCCTACGGCCAAAGATGGCGGTGAAAAAATCAAACAAGCATCTCTTCACATCCCCACAGCTACACTGCTGCCAATCAATCCACCAAAGCAAGACAAGAACCCAAGCTGAAGCCCTACGGTGGCTCGTCACTGGAGCTTTCACCGCGTCTTCTTACTGCTACGACTCTTGCTCGTTTTCCTGCTCCTCCGGTTTCGCCTTCTCTTTTCCTCACTCCGCCTGCCATCAGCGCTATCGCTATCATCGCTGCTGCTGCCGCCTCTACCGCTGCTCTCACAATCGCTGCCACTGCTAGTGCCACTGGTGCTGCTGGTTAAGGATCTGCTGGAAGTAGTCGTTGTGCTACTGCTGCTGGTGGTCATGCTGCTGCTTCTGGTCATTGACTCTTCCTCCTCCCTCCCTTCACTTCCCACTCTTCGCTTCCTTCCTTCCCCACCCTCCTCCTCCTCTTCCTCGCCAAATGCTCCGTTCTCCAAAATTGGCTTCTGCTGCTGCATGATGAGCTTTGGCATGCTCTTCAAGTACTCTCGCAGTCCATCGGTGAGTCCACCCAGACCGATAGAGGTAAAGAAGTTGATCGCAAACCTCGTGTTCTTCGGATTGTCCTTGGGGAATATCCCTTCGAACGACCCCTGCATGGCGGGCTCGCAGAGCCTCTCGTTAAGCCTCCTCAGCCCCAGGTGTTCAGAGAGCTCCTGGAAGAGGATCTTGATGAAAATGCGAGAGGATGACGTGGTATCCTCCTCCGTCAGCCTTATGTACGCCAGCACATGCCACGTCAGCGCTTCCGTTCCCAGAAGATGGGCAAAGAACTTGGCCACATTCCTCAGCTTGTTCGTCTCCAATCTGTGAATCATAGCGTACTGCTTCATGAAGCACTCATCGAATAGCTCCTGATACCGTTTGTCCAAGTTGCAAAACCTCTGTCCCAGCAGGCCATAATAGCGAAGGTAGGTTCTTTCTTGAGAGCAACACTCCAGTAGCATGGTACACAGTTCCATCTCCTGTCCTGGCGCCAGCTTGATCTTCAGCAACTTATGCCCAGCCTCCTCGAAATCGACGCTGCTCATGATTGTCAGGTAGATCGTGCGGCGCAGGTTCACTAGATTGGTGTCGGTCTGATCTTCGATCTGCATTCCCCCGGCTTCTTGGTCGCTCTGGTCATCATCGTCGTTCTCGTCTTCCTCGTCATCTTCATCGTCATCGCTCTCCACTCCGTCATCCTCGTCTTCTTCATCATCGTCGTCTCCCAATATCTCTCGCTTCAGCTCCTCATACTTCTTCTCGTGCTCCGCGTACTCTGGATCCGGTTTGAAGATGTCCAGCCCGGTCTCCGGGTCCAGCGGATCGTCCAAGGACAGCTTGTGCACCACCTGGTCCTCTGTGTCTACCAGGTCCAGCTCCGGGACCACCGCCGGGAAGCCTGAGAAATTGGCCTTGCGGATCGCAAACAAGCCCTCGATCATGAACTGAACCCTCTTGTCGATCTCTCCCTCGTGGAGCACAGCTCGAAACCTCTCGAATACGTAGTGAAGGGCCGTGGGCGCGACGTCCGACAGAATAGCTCCGCACTCCTTGATGAAACCCACGGCCACCTCAACACTGTCGTCCGTCGGCTGGTCTAGAAGCAGCGTTAGCAGCTCCAAAGCGAGAATTTCGTGTGCCACTTGCTGGTTCACGAGATGGGCTATGAACTTCGTCACGGCCACGCAGACGGGCTTGTCGTTCCGCCGGAAAGCTCTCTTGAACTGCAGGATTGTCCTCTTGAGGACCAGTTCACCCAGCCCCTGGAACTTCGTGTTTACCACCGCAACAACCGCCGTGTACACAGGCGTGAAAACGGGAGACGCCATCTGGGACTTCAGAATGGACCGCGCGAAAACGCCTCGCCCTCTAATCAAATTCTCCGCGAAAAGCTCCCGAACGATATTCTTTACGTTAGACGTGTTCACTTTATTCACTAACCCGTTGATGCTCTTCCTCAGAGCGTCCCATGTCATTCGCTGATACTCCTCGCTCGTTTTGTCTGTAACGGACTTCATCATCTGTGCCAACTTGAAAGGTGGTATGTAGACGCCACCCGTCTTCCCCAAACCTGTTGCTACCTTATCTCCCCCTCCTCCTACTGCTTCGCCTCCGCTTCTAATACCCCGGCTGCCGCTATCCTTGGCACTTTCCCCGTTGCCCCCCGCTCTCTCCTCCGCTGCTGCTGCTGCTGCTGCTGTCGTTGCTCCTGCTGCTACTGCGCCGCTCTTCTTCCTCCCGCCCTCCCTCTCCCCTCTCCCCGCCCTCTCGTCCTCCCGGAATGCTCTCCTCTTACCCTCAGGTGTGCCTCGTTCACTCACGGGGGATTCAGCACGCCCTCGCTTTCTCCTAGATCCCCGCCTCCGACTTCTTTCCTGCCAATCCTCCTCGCTATCAGTTTCCATACTCCCTCTCTTATCCATTCCCTCAATCGCTCTTCTACTGCCTTTGAGATCGACGGCTCCCGCCCAGCTGCCGCCCGCAGAATGGTCCTCCCCACCTTGCCGCTTCTTCTCGGTGCCGTCACCATGCCTAGCCTCCTCCTCCCTCTCCTCTGAATAGTTTATCCTCCCTTCTCCTGCTCTATCCTGCTGGCCTCTTTCTCGTCTTCTTGCATCTCTCAAGCCCCTTCGCGACCCCGCCTCCGCCTCTCCTTTATCTCGATTTGAACTATCGGTATTACCCCTCTTCTCAAAGCCTCCTCTTCTAGCCTGCCGCTTGCTCCCCTCCTCCTCCCTCTCTCTTTCACGATCGCCTCCTCCTCTGCTCCCATTCTCCTTGCGACTTCCGTGATCACGTCCTTCTCTTTCCCTGTCACTCTCTCTCTCTCCCCCTCTCTCTGCCTTTATCACGCCCTTCTTCGAGTCCTCACATCCGCCGCCCTCTTCGTTCTCTCCTCCACCCCTCTCAAGTCTTCCACCCCCATCACAATCTATATCGTATCTCGATCCCAGCTCCTCCCTCCTCCGCCTGCTGGCCCGCTCCCGCTCTCGTCTGCGGCTTCGCTTCTCCCGCTCCTCATCTCCTCTTTCCCTCTCTTCGCCCTTGCATATCTTTCGATCCCGATGACGGTACTCAGTGCCCCCAGCCTCTCTCCCCCTCCCCTCCACACCATCCCCATCATTGCACATTCTGTCGGGATTTCGATGCCGACTCGGCGGCTCTCTATTGCCCCCACCATTCTCCGCCTTGGCTGCTCGGTCCTGGCTCCTCTTGCTCCCACCTCCCTTCAACTCGTCATCGCCCTTCGTAGGTCCTGTCTTGTTGTCCATCCGTACGCGGTCTCCTCTATCCCTGTCCCTTGGCATCTTCCGATTCTCATCATTATCATCATCATCGCCACCATCTTCTTCATTCGCACGCCCCCGGTTGCCAGGTTGCCGTCCCCCATCTCTCGCCTTCCGATGTCGGAGGCTAAGGTGGTCGTCTCCTCGATGTCGAGCTCTTCTTTCATCCCGCTCTGCTACAGCACTTCGGCTCTCTCTCCACTTACCCGTACGCCTATCTCCTCCCTTGTCATGACCTTCCCGATGCCTTCGTCTCTCTTCCAAACCCGCCGCCATGCCGCTTTCCCAGTGCTTGCCCATTTCTTCTCCTTGTGCCTTCTCGCCCATCCGTTTCTCCCCATTTTCCTTGTCTCTACTTCCCGCGTTTTTTCCCCGCTCTCTCAATCGTCCTTCCCTCCAATCGCCCGCCGCCACGTCGCTCCCTAATCGCCTTTCCACTTCTCGCCGTGCCCTTCCGGCGGGGTCCCGCCTTCTCTCCCCGTTTTCCTCGTTTTTTCCTCCACTGTCGTTCTCCCACTCCTGCTGTCTCCGCTCCTGAGCCCGCGTTCCTGCTTCTTCCTCATCCCTTCTTGCGCCGATGCCCTGCTCCCTCCTTTCGCTCTCATCCCAGTGACAGCCTTTCCCGCCACCACCACCATCATCGTCATGTTGTCCGGAGTCTGCTTTCCTCTCCCTCTTCGCCTCCGAACCGCTCTTCATTTCACCGGAGTTCTTTCCCTTGCCCTCCATATGCCTGCGCGTACAAGGAGCTCCCGCCTCTTTCTCCTCCTCCTCATCGTCTTCGTCCGCTATCTCCCCCTCCTCCCGAGGACCTACTACATTCTTCCTGTCATATCGCCTCACCCTTTTCACACGCTCCTTATCATCATCAGTGTGATCATCCACGTCCTCCTCCACAGCCCTACCCTCATCGCCCCTTGGCCTCGCCTTTCTCTTCTCCTTTCTGTCGTCTTGTACTGCGGCATCACTCCTGGTTAACACCCGGCAAGAGTCCGTCACAACCCCCTCTCCTCGCTCGTCCCTCTGCCCCACCTCCTTTCCCTTCGCCTGACCAGCCTTATTTCCCCTCTCTAACTCCTCCCGCGATACTGCGGGGGCATCGGTGTGACACTGCGCGCCACCGCGCTGATCGCTCTGCTTATCAATTCCGCTGCTCTCTGGAGAGCTTAATGGTGACAGTGTATCCTGTACCAGCTCGCAGTGACCAACCCCTCCGGCACCATGTTCTCGAGGGTCGCCTCCAGGTTCTGGCGGCGCAGAGCAGATGGGAGTGGGGGACGAGGGGGGGGACAACCCAGGAGCGGAGGAAGGGGGTGAGGGAAGGGACGGGGACGAAGAGGGAGGTGGAGCGGAAGGCGGGGGAGGAGAAGGAGGAGGAGGAGGAGGGAGAGGAGGAGGAGGAGAAGACGGAGGCGGAGGAGTAGGTGTAGGATTACATGGACTCTCGCCCTTTATATGGCTAGTACCGCTCCGCCCCCTCCCCAGTGAGCCTCGCCCACTGCTTGCACTTCTCGTGGTGCTTGAGCGATGCCTCCTCCTGTGAGGACTTATTGGCGAAGGATGAGGGCTCCGCTGTCCTCTCCTGGCGTCCGGGGTCGCCCTCGGAGGTTTCGACTGCCACACAGGGATGTGGATAGAGCTCGGGCTGCTGCTCGTCTCGGAGCTATGGCTGCGCTGCACATGTGGCGAAAGACTCACGCTGGGAGTCGGGCTAAAATGGGCACTCACCTTCGGGCTAGGACTGGCAAGGAACCTTCGCCTTGGACTCAGCTGTGGAGACCCGTGAGCGAAGTGCAAGCACCCGTCTTCCTTTCGCTCCTCCTCCCCTCCCTGCGCTTTCGTGGCGCATTCTCTTACCTCCATCCCCATGCCAATCGCGCCGTCGTGCACGGGACCACCATCAGCTGGCAGTACCTCTGACTCCGCCAGTTTATCCCCTTGACGACGACGGTCGTCGTTTCCTCCATCCTCCTGCCCTCTAGACGTGTAGAGAGGACAGGCTGACCCGTCGTCGAGATCCGCATGACGTCGCGGCTCGACAAGACAAGGCCGACTGCTCGTCCGTTCCCCAGCTCTAGCCACGTGGCCCTGTCCGTCGTCCGGCGCCAAATGAGAGTCCCCGTGGGAGGTATCGCTATCTTCTAATGACGAAGATGAGGAGGAGGAGGTTGAGGACGACGACAATGACGCCAGAGGGGATTGGCGTCTTTCTCCATGCCACCTCCCCGTCCTCCTAGCCCGTGGAGGTCGAGGACTTGAACTCCTGCTCGGACTGCTGCTGCCGCTAATTTCTCGCCGTCGTTTCCGCCTCGATACGCCATACTCCTCTGACAATGTTTGCAAGCTTCCGTAGCTGCGACGCTTATGAGAACCACCTCCCTTTTTTGAATCACCCCTTACGTACTCCTCGTCATGCGGCGAGGACGAGCACATCGAATCTTCACGCCGCCCCATCTGTCTTTTCCCACTTCCTTCCCTACCTCCTTGCTCCTCCTCTCCCCGGCTTACGACCGTTCTCCCTTTTGGCGGAAGACCGTTTCAATCACCACCCCTAGGGAGAAGAATCCGTACAAAACAGGCCACGACTCAAGCACGCAGCACAAACGAGACTCTCTCTCTCTCTCTCTCTCTCTCTCTCTCTCTCTCTCTCTCTCTCTCTCTCTCTCTCTCTCTCTGTGTGTGCAAGTGTGTGTGTGCGTGTGTGTGTGTGTGTGTGTGCCTGTGAGTGTGTCCGTGTCGCTAACCTTGTTGAGGTCCACAGAACCCAGGGAGCAGAGTACGCGTCGCAAGGAACCCCTACCGAATGACCCAACCAATCAATCAAACAACTGACACAAATCACCCAATCGATGTTCGTGTTGACCCTGCTCCTCCCGGATTAGAAATGGCACTGATCAATATCAACACAGGCGTCAAACGCGAGTGCAACCAACGCTAAGTCACCAGACAAGATTAATAATTCCCCCTCGGCACCGACTCTTCTCAATGCACGCATACGTGGCCCGGCAAGTGATTACACCACTCCCTCCCAATCAAAAAGAATCCCTGTTCGGCTTTTGAACCTCTTGCTGTATCCGGATGTCCAATGAGAAACCCGCCGTCAAACCTAACCCGCAACCTCCTCCCACTCCGTCTGCCTGAGAGAGCCATGATAGAACGAGACATGAGAAGATCCTCCTGCCTCAAAGATCGAGCCCTAAAGCCGGAAGTCGCGCCCCTCGCTGTGCCGAAAGTGGGGAAAGATAACAAACACATGTTCACAGCCCTAGGCTGCGGTATAGTAGGCTTCGGCGTTTGTGTCAAGGTGGCACATTTTCAGCGGCTGGAGAACAACCCACAAGTGGGTTCTAATGGGGTGAAAGTTGTTGGGGGAGGTGACTACCAACAGCTATAGTGCGTAGCACCAGCGCGGTACAGGTCCTCTCTTGCATGTGAACTGCAAAAGGGCCCTCAGGCGTCTTCTCAATTGTCTACGGCATGGGCGCGGAGAACCCACCCCTAAGGTAGCCAAAGAAGAGTGCGCACAAGAGAGAGAGAGAGAGAGAGAGAGAGAGAGAGAGAGAGAGAGAGAGAGAGAGAGAGAGAGAAAGTGAACTGCAATAGGGCCCTCAGGACCAGACCTTGAGGCCCGTCTTCTCAATTGTCTACCGCGTGGGAGCGGGGAACACAGCCCTAAGGTAGCCAAATCAATGAGACTAAAAGCTAACACGAGAGAGAGAGAGAGAGAGAGAGAGAGAGAGAGAGAGAGAGAG